CCAATTATTTAAAAACATGATTGAGAAGTCATTCTTAAAATCATAGAAAAATGTAGCTCCTATAATAGGATAAATTATTGTGAATGACCCCTAAACTGGAAGAAAATACAAAAACCCTAGTATTAACTTTGTTCACAGCCATGTTTTCCAATTGAAAAGTTGCAAACCTTTATATTACAATTCATAATTTAATTCAGTAATATACGAAGCACTGCCCATATATTTCCCAAAAAAAAATGCATAGCACAACTGATTTTATTAGTTAATGGACAGGTTTCCCACTCTTTACTTTCCAATAGCAATAAGGCCTCTTTAAGGACATTTTAAGGCTATTTAACAACATTTTTAAGGCAATACTAATAACTTTCGCTAAAAGAATTATAAATTGCTATTCTATTTTATGATGACTTAATGCTTAATGAATATTAAAAACCAATGAAATTTTAATATAAACTTAATTTTAAAAAAAATCAGCTAATGCAATATCAATTTTGAAAATTACTTCTTTTTCACATCATCCACATGTTACTAAGTGAACACCTCAGATAAATTTAAAAAGTACAATACCAGATAGTTATCAATAATAGAAGTTAACATTATTTTAATGGTATATTAATACCCATACTCAGTCACCATAATAAACTAATTAAAGCTCCCCTCTTTTGAATTGAAATCTGAGTAAAGATTTTTCAACATATGCAACACTACTTAATATATAAAAATGTCAGCAATAAGAGAAAAAGAATTCAACACTTTAAACGACCATAAAAGTAAAGCGTGGAGAATAAGCATTGGGATCATTCAATTAATTTAAAATAGCAGAAAACTCATTTTTTTTCCAAAAGTTAAAAAAAGAAAACTTTAGCAAATTATAATTTATTTCAACTACCGTCAAATCCGGAAAGTAACCCCTCCCTTGAATATAACCCCCCCTGATATTGCTGAAAGTGAAAACTAATTATATTATTTTTCAAACTCTATTATAACCCCTCCATCTAAAATTAACCTGTTTTGCTTTTCAAAATGAAGGGGCTTACTTTCAGGATTTTACAGTATATGAGAAGTATATCTTATTGTAAGTAACTATATAATTTTGTTATGTTTATGAAGAAAAAAAATTATTTTCTTCAAAGCTTTTCAAACTTTCTTCGAAACATACCAAATAATTCAGATAATACGCGATTAGAAGGAAAAAAAAATTAATAGAAAACATTTTAAAAGGAAAAATTATTAACACTATTTATCATCTATGGAATAACATCAAGCCATTCAATAAATGAAACAAAACAGCACTATTTTGTGCATAGAATCAGGGTGGCTACTGATTTTCAGTACCAAATTTCCCTGATAATTTTCTTTTGAATTCCCCTGATATTTTTTAAAATTTCCCTAATAATTGTTTTGTAAAAATTTCACTCTCTCAGAGAAATTTTAAAAAAAAATTATTATTTTTCTGATTATTGAGATAAATATACTTGGCAATTGCACATAAATATAAAACAAGATTTAAAAAAAAGTCTGGGTACAAGAATTCACAATAAAGTAATACCTTTCCTTTAGAATACCCCTCCTTGATTAGAAAAAGAAAAATAACTAAAAATTCCTAAAATTTTGGAAGCTTGAGATCTCACAGGTGAAAGTTTGTAGTTTTGTGTTTAATAGACTGAAGCTTGTATTTTCTTCATCTATTTTCAGAGACTCCTCCTGAGCTTCATCTAAAATATTTATTTTTTTTGCATTCAGTTCTTCCAGTTGGCTTTCAGTTCCCTTTTTCTTTTGCCGCAGTCTTCTTTCTCCTGTTGGTGCCTTTTTTCCTTATATTCCACATTCCTCCCAAGGGAATTTCGGATACTCAGAATTAACTGCTTGCTGATTATGAAGTCACTCGCTTACCTTGAACAGTTAGACTGTCAAATACAATTCTTCTGGCAGTCAAACTTTCTTCTCTTATGTTGTCCCACAAGAATCGAGAAGTTCCCGATTTCGATAAGGTTTTTGCAAATTTCCAGGTTTTACGAAGACATTTCCAGGTTATTCTGATATTTTCACAAATTTCTCTGACTTTTCAATGGCTGATAAAATTTCCTGACTCTTCACTGATTTCCAGGTTCAGTCGCCACCCCATAGAAAGAATGTTTTGCCCCATGCTCAAACTAGAAATGTTTACTAACTTTCAGCGATGTGATTTTCAGCATTTTTTTTTTTTTGACGTTTGTAAAGAAATGCAGTTATAATTTAAGAATTTAAAAAATAAGCATGAGGCCTTCATAAGGCTTCTATGTAAAAATAAGACATTTTTATGGGCCTTTAATTTTTTCTCCTTCAAATAAGGTCTTTTTAAAGGGCGTGGGAAGCCTGATGGAACTTTCAAATGAATATTTTGATGAAATATATAGCTACTGTAAGCTATTAGGAAAAACAAGCTTGAGATGTGAGAAGCAGCTCATATGGTTTTAAAGATTTTTTCTAATACTTAAAAACATAAGATTTAGACACCATTCTTAAAATCATAGGAAAGTGTAAATTTAAAAGACAAGAGGTTTTATCTTTTTATTATTAATTTAATAAGGGTGATAAGATACATCGTCAAGATGAATTTTTTATATTTAATTTTTCAGAATTCTTAATACTTTTTTGTATTTACATTGTAAATATTAACAAGAAAGGTTTTTAAATAAAACATTTCAAGGAAGGTTTAAAAACATACATCCCTTTCACTGGCTAGCTAACCAGTTTGTAGTATTTTTACAGCTTTTTTCTCAATAAAACTGCCTCTTATTGATAGTTAAAACAACAGAAAATTAGAAAAATGAATAAAACTATAAATAATTATATTTTAAAGGTATTAAAACGAAATACTACATTAGAATTAAATACCTGCTAAAACACTGCATATTTCCAATGCAACAAATGGTCGTTTTTTATTGGTGCCAAAATAACTGAAATTAGCAGCTAGCTGTGGGGTAATTATATGTTCGATGAGATAATATATTATATTTGGCACAGAATTTCCTCCTATTTTTCGCAGTTCAGATATCTGGAAAACAAAATGAAATTACACATTATTAAAGATAAAATTATTTAATATCTGTGCAAAAAGATTTTCTATACATTTTTAATAGCTACTGTAATTACAAAATACGATTAAAATTCAAAATGTGATAAAGAGCAGAGTATATACATTATTTCTTAATAGAGAGTAATAAAAAACCGAACTATTGTATCTGTATTTATTGAATTTTTTAAAAATAACAGTATCTCTAAATAAAGTATAATAGGATTTGAATGTGTATATAAATTTTATTACTTCAACAGTTGTTTATTTACCAAGTTTAAACTCTTTTCAAAGAGAATATTAAAGGTTATTTATACGTTAATTATTATAGAAATCAAATTTCATTAAATACATATTAATTAGAAAAGGATTATGAAAAAACCGGTTTAAACAAAAAAAACTTGGTTTTTTGCCAACCTTGATATACAGTATTTAAGTGCGATATTTCAAAAATTTTGCACAGGAAAAAACATATTACTTACCAACTGTTTCCTAAACTTTGTTTCTTTTAATTTATTTTCAATTTCACTCAGTTGTACAAATAGGAAATTTAGGCAAGATTTTCTCAGGTGAGGGCGAGGGCTCAGAGTCTCCCAGATGCGACGCAATTCTTTTCAAAATGTTTATCATTTCTCCCTGTCTTTCATATAACATTTCCACTTGCAATTGTAACTTGCAAAAATCTGCATACCCAGGTTAAAATTTTTGCTGGTATTTGTTTGCTAGACAAGCATGAGATGCTATATACTAGCAAAAAAACCAGCTTGAACTAGCAAAAATGTTTGCTGGTACCAGCAAAAAAACTAGCTTGCCATACCGCGTATTGGCATACTTTGTTGCTTGTCCAGCATACAGATACCAGCTTGTGTTGCTGGATTATCTTGCTAGTCTAGCAACAATCACGACCATCGGTTGCTAGGAATTCTTGCTTTTCCAGCAAGTGAATTCTAGCATCGGTTGCTAGGAATTTTTGATTTTACAGCAAGTGAATTCTAGCATCGGTTGCTAGGAATTTTTACTATTCCAGCATGATAATTCTACCATCGGTTGCTAGGAATTTCTGCTATTCCAGCATGAATTCTAACAGTTGTTTTTAAATTATGCTTTTCAGTTGCTAAAATTCTACCTCCCGTTGCTTTTAATTTTTACTATTCTAGCATAAGAATATTACCATCAGTTGCTTTTAAATTTTGCTATTTTTAGATTATTTCTTTACCACCATTCCAAGGCAAAAAAACCTTGATGGACCAGCATAAATTTGATAATTACCATCTTGAATTCTCATCAAAGACCAACATATAGCTTGATGAGACCATCATAAATTCCCTACATCACATTTAGGAATTCACACCTTTTAAGTAGGGCCAACAAAGCACACCAAACAGTGTATGATGGATTTTTATGTTGGGCTAAAATAGCATAATGGAATTTTATGTTGGGTTAGCATAGAATACCCGACAAAGTAGTATGATGGATTTTTATTATGATCCAATATAATTTACAGGTTACCATTATAATTTTCCATCACAAACCATCATGCTTTATGTTGGGCCCAACATCCAAAGTTAGGAATTGGCACTTTTTCATGTTGGGCCAACATAGCATATTCAATATAGTATGATGGATTTTTAAAATGGGCTAACAAAAAATAAATCCATTATGATGCAATATAATTTATTGGTTATTATTATAGTTTTACTTAAAGTCTAATTTCACATAAAGGGGTAAAGCTTGCGTTTGGTATAATTCTACATAAAAAGGGAGGAAATAAGAAAATTGAATTTCAAATTTAAAACAAAAATTTAAATTGGACAATTTTACAACTAAATATTGTAACTGTAAACCAACTAATTTTAAATGCCAAGCTTATTAATTAAAGGTCCTTCTGTTGTTGCTTTTCCTAAACAAAATGTAAAATATTTATTTAAAAATAAAAATACAAAGATAAAAAAAAGACATTTATTCAGAAAAATTCAATGCAACTAATAATACAATATTTTTTCTTCCTCATTTTCAATATCTACATTTCCGCTGTTATGGCCTCCTCATAATAAAGCTTTGCTGCACCTTAAAAAAAATAATAAAATTTAAGCAATATTAAATCACAAAATCATATAAGACTGCAGAATTAAACTTATTACTTTTTTTAAAATAAATTTGAATATATTTGCTTGTTTTGCACAAAATTAAATCAAAGTAATATTTATTATAAGATAGCATCATATATTTCCTTACATATTAAGCAAACCTGATTGTCTTGTTACATTTTTATGCATTTGTATTGGTAAGAAAGGACATGAATTGAACAAAGACATGATTTTATATACCATCATAGAAAATCTAAAATGTTAGCAAAAAAGGCTGCTGCATAAAATATGCTGCAAAGGAATTTGCATGTAATGTTTGACTTTTCTTATTAACATTATTATCTTGATTTTGATAAAGATTAAAAAAAAAAAGATTTAAACTAAACGCATATAATCTAGGAGTAGCAAGTAAGGGTATACAATTTCCCAGGCACCTAACTGACTAAAAAATAGAAGTTGGTACTCAATATAGCAAATTTAGCACAAACGCAGAAAACTACTATACTACTTACCATTCCATAACATGCTCATTCCTAACAATTTGCCCTGTTGCCAACATTATTAAAAGAACTGTATTAAAAATATGTTATGATTAGGAAAACAAAACAAATTTGTTATAAATATTGCAGTAGAATTTCTTTTTTACAAAAAAGTGGTATTTTTTGGGGAAAGCGATTATTCAGTGATTTGCCACTTTCATTCACCAAAATTTATCTAACAAATTATTTATCAGAATTGATAATTAACTTGTTCTTATTAAAAATACCAGCAGTTCCTAAACATTGTTCTGCAGAACCCTAGAAGAATGAAAGACATCCAAGTGATAGGAATTTGAGCAGTCTAAAAATAAAAAACATTTTTAACACCTGCTATTATATTTAGGCCCAACAATAATCGATTACTAAATAGTGCAGATGCTTTTTTTCAATTATTTAAAGTTTAATGCCAATAAAAAAGAAAAGACATTTTTAAAAATAATTTTTCTAATATATTAAATTGAAAATCCTACGCATCTGTAAAAAATTGTAGTATTATTTCCCATTGCGCTTTTCAAATTAAAATGAAATAACTAGATTCACTATTAAAAAGACCCATCCTTGAGACTCTTTTTTTTAAAAACATTTATAGCAGTTCCTTTTGTTTTCATTTCAATAAAAAACACAATTTGGCTTATTTTATTTCTAAATTTTTAACAAAAAAAAAATTCATAGCTAGACTAAATGCAGCTCCAAGACCATGAATTCAACTGTCTGACATAATACCTGATTAAAGATTATTATGAAGAAGATAAATGATGAAAAAATTTTCATTCCTCTTGGAAAATCTTTTAAGAGTTTAATTTAATATTTTTTTATTGGTAAATACATTTACAGATGTTTTTATAAACTTTATTTAAAATTGTTCAGGTACCGCCGAGAGATGGTTGATCTNAAAATGTTCAGGTACCGCCAAGAGATGGTTGGTCTTTTAGGGTTCCATATTATTAAAAAAAAAAATCAGGAACTGCTGGAATATACAGTTGTGTAAAAAAAAAGTAAGAATTGTGACACAGGACTCACAGAAATATGCTTAAATTTTTTTTTATTTTTAAGAAAATTCTTTAATAATTATTTGCAGGTAGCAAAGATCATTTCATTGATATATAACATTATGAACATCAGTACTGATTTAATCTGCAATGATTATGCTGCACAGTACTGCTCTCTAATTTTAATACAATTGTTTTATAATTCCTTTTTTTTCTAAAAGATTTTCTGTAAAATGGATTGAGTAATAAACTGTCAAAATAAAAGTAAAATTTAAAGAAAAATAAATATTACTTGATTTAGTATATACTAAGGTTTGTTGGTTTAAATTAGATATTTTAATTTTTTTAATTACAAAGTCATACAAACATTATGTTTTAAATTATTTTAATATTTTCAAAATGATTTTTTTTTTTACATTAAGATAATTTAACAAAAAATATTTAAAATTTATTTGTCTTTCCATTTTATATTTAATCTAATGCTACATTGTGTTTTTAAGAGGATGTCATACCATGGGAGTAACTTTTCATCACAAATTTTGTTTCAATTCCATTACTAGACCTGAAAAATAACTACTCACCAGTGTGGGAAGTCAAAAAAAAAAAAAAAAAAACAGAGAGAGAGAGAGGAAACTTAAATAAAAAAAACTAGTACCATTTCCCAATCGTTATATGCATATAGTATACATATAACCATTTAACGATCTAAAAACATCAATATTGAGACTCAAGATTAATTAATTTGGTTTGGAAAGATTCACGTGGAAGGAGAGTTCCATCACAATTCCCATATTTCAAAGTTGTAAGGCATAGATTAAATGTATTTTGCCTCTCCAAATATTTAAAAAAAAATTTTTTTTTAATTTAGTATTTTTAACTAATTTTTCACATATTTATATTTTTATTGTTAAATTAACTTTTTATAGTCATATTATCTCTAATATGAATCTTTTGTAAANGGCAATATAGCAAGACCCCACCCTATCTTGAAAAAAAAATTTTTTTTTTAATTTAGTATTTTTCACATATTTATATTTTTATTGTTAAATTAACTTTTTATAGTCATATTATCTCTAATATGAATCTTTTGTAAAAATATATTTTAAACTATGTAAAAAATGTCTAAATGAAAAGGACCTATTGCTATCAATCACAGAAAGAAAAAAAAACGAGAGAAACAAATCTTAGAATTTTCTTTTTCCACAACATAATTTTGTTTAAAGTTTCCTTAAGCAAAGCAACCCCTCATTAAAAACAATCATCCCTCCAACACAAACACTAGATGGCGTGATCAAAACCTTGATTAACACATAATTTTAAACTAAATTCTTAAGGTAGTTAAATACTTTACTTACTTCCTGCTAATTCTAACACCATAATTCTCACGCCCTTCTGTCCATGCTGTCAGTTTATTAGCTCCTGTAATGTCCTCTTCAATGGATTTACTAAATCAAAATAAAACATTCACATTATAAATTTAAAGTTATAAATATTCATAAAAAAATAAGTTTTATAAATAGTTATTGGAAAATGGGTGATAAACCAAACTTAATATGAATTGTACATTGTGAGAAAATATATATATTTCTAACTGAAATGCTAAGTAGAAAACATAAGTTAGTTACTCTAAGTTAAGTCACGATTAGAGCAAATGAACACATAAAGAATAAGTGTTAAAATTTAAAAGTATTGTTCATTGGTTGAAGTCTCAACTTAAATAAAAAAAATTTTGAGAAATCAGCAATTTCAAAATTCATAAAGCATTCAAATACAAGTTTTTCCAAATATCCACCGATATTCATAGCTTTAAAATTTTTGTTAATATATCGCTGTGTTAATAAAGCAAAATTGCATTAATACTCGGACGGCAATAAATTATAGCATTTTCTAAATAACAGTTTAATAGGAAAATTTTTTTTACAACTACGAACAAGGTAAAAATATGTTGCTTTTTTTTTATCCTTCATTTACGTCTTCATTACAGAAAGCCGTATTATTTAAAAGAGAATGGATTTATTTTTCAAAAATCATTTCAACTAATTCTTATAAAATACAATCCTTATACACCATATTTTCATTATAATGTAGGAATGTCACCTTTTTAAGTGAAAATACAGCAGGTAGATTAACTAAGAGCCACACATGTATTTGCTCATGTAGACAGCATATATGTTAATTTTATGTTCTGCGAGTTTTTATCAGTAAACTTGATAATATGTTTTCAGAAAATCAAATACTTTTAATTGTTAGACACAAAATAAAGAGCATCAAGAAGTGGTTATTATAACTAAAAGCACAATTCAAGAGTCTGAATATCGTATTAAATGTAATCAGGATTTTAATAACCACATGGCGATAGTAGTTTTAACTGTCTAAAAGCAGTCAAAACCCCATTTGAATTTTTAAAAAATCAGAGAAAATAAGGTAAAACTAAGCATAATCACTGAAATTTGCATAATAACACAATAAAAATATTTGCTTTCTTTAAAACCATTTGAAATTCCAGAGCAACAACAATGGAAAAAGCAATTTAGAAACAACATAGATTTACTTGTGATTAGAAACTTTCCCTTGTTGCATGTCAGCAGGCTACATCTGGCTCACTAGTCGCGGGCTGTGCAACACTATAATATTTCAAATATAGAGCAAAACATACAGCATTAAAATAAATAGAAATAGATACCTACACTAATAAAAAGAAATCTAATTATAGATGAAAAAGCTGAGGATAAATTCGAAACGCCTTTTGTTATAGCCATTTAATTTTAAGTAACCAACTTAAATTTTTTAAAATTTCCTACATTTTCTTTTTGTTTACTTTGCAAAATAATTTTTTAAATCCCTGCTGTGAATTCTTGAATTTATTATAAATCAATTTAAACATTTCTAATGTTAGCTGTAACAAAATAAAAAAAAAATATTGATTACATTGATATAACAATGCTCAACAAAATTAATGATTTTTAAAACGCTTCAGTTCTTACATATTTATTAAAAATATTTTTTTTAATTATTTAAAATATTTACTTATTTAAAATTATGCAAATGCCATTGACAAATCAAGCAGGTTTTTCGAAAAGATTCAAATGAAAATAGTTAGATTAAAAATAAATATTTGAAATAATTGATAGACATTTATAGACTCTAATTTGTAATATATTTTTGGTAATTCTAAATCACAAATTAGAAAATTAGTAAATATATTGTTCATTATTAAATACTCTGAAATTAAAAACTCACAAGTTTTGTTTACTTAATATTTCTATTAGAAAATATTATCTTAAATAAAATAAAACAGTTAATTTTTTTCTTCTTTTCTTTTTTACAAAACACATTTATTTTAACATTACATTTCAATAGAATAGGATAACAGCAAGGCATAATTTTAATCATAACTGCGAATAACTAAATTTTAAAATAAAAAAATTATTTTAATAGAAATTATACAAACGTTACATTAACATTATCTTCAAATGCTAAACTATTATACTACATGACGTAAACAATTAGAGAAATTATATATGATTTAAAAGCTAATTTCGACAAAAAAAAATTAGGACGGTAATATAAATATTTAAGACGCAACATTTTTACTGTAAACTAAAATAAACACTTAAACAGAATCTTTCTTAAAAGAATTCAAAATGTAAATAGACTGCTAAGCCTAACTTGATTACAATTCAATGCTAATAACAACATTATAATATAGATAATAAATGCGCACGCATTATTTAAATGGAACTCAAGTCAACTATTAATAAAGATAAAGTACATTTAATAAAAGTGCTAATAATAAATAACATAAAGAAAACTCACCTCATTCATAAGAATCTGCCGCCGCTATGTGTGTAAACAATTGGAGCAAGGTGCAAACGAGTTTAGTCACCAAGAAAGCGCACCAGTTTTACGGATCAAAAGTTGAAAAAGTTCAGTGAAAATTCACTAATTGAAGGGAGTAAAAGAACGTTGAGTCTACTTAGTCCCAGAGAGTGCATTTTAATAGAATTTTATTAAAATGTACATTTTTTCCTTTTTTTTAATGTTATTTAAGAATGCGCTTTTAATATTGCATATAAATATTTATGAGAAAAGCAACAAATAGAAAAAACAAGCAAATTAACTAAATATAATCGATGAAAAATAGTTTTATTAAATAAAATTTTCAACTTTTTAATTATTTATTTTATTAAGAAACAAATCTATTATGACATTCAGTTATTTATTTAGTTTATTAAAAATAAAAAAAACATCAATTTTTTTATTTATTTTCTTTTTTTAAACTATCTCGTATTAATTTCCGAGTTGTTTTCTATCAATTATTTATATATAATTAAGGGTTTTATGTTCCTTGTAATAATAAATAAATATTTTAAAATAAATCTACATATTTAATAACTCTATATAAACATATTTAATAAAATGCATATAGATAATAAATAAATATATATTTTTTTATCTAGTTATCGCAAAAATGTACTGTATTTCTTAACTTTACATTCACTAAAAAAAACAGTTTTTGATATTTGCTTTCGAAAATAATGACAGAATTGTGACAATGACAACAATTGTGAAAAAAAATAAATAAATAAGGACAACATTGTTCCAACAGTTTTTCTTTCTCTCTTTTTTTATGTACTTGCACATTAATTAAATGCTGGCGAATATGAAGATTTTATTAAAGCTTATTGACGAAATGAAACTCTTAAAATCACAGTGATCAAACTTTAAGTTATAACACTGGATACTGCAAAGATCTCAAAAATTAATTAAATTGAGCAATAAAGAACATATTTTTAATAAAAATGTAAGTACTTTTACTAATTTTTTCACAAAAATTTTCTTATGTTACGGTGTGATTTGCAGGAGAAGCAACCTACGCTCATTATGAACAGGTCTTTCAAATTTATTTTAAACGTTACATAATTCAAGATATTGAGCATTTGATTTCTAAAGCTGTACGAGAGCTGTGGGTGATTTTTATGGATTTCTAAATAGTAGCGTAGCTACTTTTGGGGCACCCAGGGCAAACACATTAGGTGGAGCCAACACGTGGAGCCCCCTCAATCTCTGGATACCAAATACTTTTAACAGGTAATGAAGTATCTTTTTATTGAAAAAGTATTTTGGGATCCCCTGGGCATTGTCCTGTTTACCCAACTGTTAAGACACCCCTGTTTCTTACGACACAATGGCAATTCAAACAAGCACTCATTCTTTACCACATCTTTGGAATTGACCCCAGAGGGCATTTTCATTTTGGTTAAAATAGTTTAAATGTTTAATAGTGAAAACGTGAACTATCAAACATTATTTTCGTTATGAAGTTAACACAACAGTTATATTAACTAGTTTGAAAAGAACTAAATGGGAAATAAAAATATGATTCAGGCAGAGTCGTAGCACCAGAGTTGCTCCCCGGGCTATTGGCGACTGTTTGGGAAACATCCCAAAGGATGAGAGAGAAAGTTTTTTATTGTTTTTCATTTAGTTTTTTAGATTTTATTTTCAATTGCAAAATTCCTTAAACATTAACTAGTTTAATAATCGAAAAAGCACAATATTCATTTTAGAGTAACTGCGGAACACCATAGAGTTGAAATACTATCTCAACTATATGCCTGACACAGGTGGAAAATCTCACAAACCATTCCTACTGTATAAAAAATATTTTCTTTTATGGTTTTTGGATATGAGAATAAGAAACTGATTAGTGAAATATATTTTCTGACGGAGAATTTACTAACAAGGTTTTGTTTGAATTTCCATCAAATTGGCAAATGTTGTTTTTTCGCATGCAGCATGAATAGCTCTATTGACCAAGCAAGAAAAACCACGTGCATAGCATCACTATATGCAAATGAATATTTTTTCAATATGTAATAAAGATGGACTATGTTTTTATTTTTCTCGTTACAAGTTAAAAATAGGTTAATTTAATTTTTATCTGTACCTCAGAAACATCACTTCAAATTAAAGTCGGACATAAATTTGAATGAAAGAATCTTAAGGGAATATATTTTTCTGCAATATTGACTAAATTTTTTTTAACGTGATATTCTATGTAAAGTAAAACGTCACGGGCCTTGTTCTGTTGCTGCCTAAGAAATTCATTTGGCTATAAATGTCAAGCTATATATTTTGCTGATTATTTTTTATGACTCAGTTATAAATGTATAATAGTATTGATTTAAATCTCTGTTAGAATTTCTCAAATAGAACTATATGAAAATGCTGGCTATTTGGGTTAGAAAACCTAAATTAATAGAAAAAAATCATTATTATGTTCTTAAGCATCCTCATGTTTCCGGAAAACCTTGTTAATAATATGTTTTGGTTACATTATAGCGAATGCAATATTTAATTAAAAATATTTCTAAATGAAGCAAATTTAAATACATTATGTATACCAGCGATAATGAGCTAGTATTAAAGCTAGATTCAGGTTAAAAATTTTTTTAGACAAACTTGAAATGCAATATACCAGCAAAAAAAAAACCAGCATGATCTAGCAAAAATATTTGCTGGTACCAGCAAAATTACTAGCATGTCATGGTATGTATTGGCAGGCGTTATTTGCTTGTCTAGCATACAGATACCAGCTTGTGTTGCTGGAATATCTTGCTAGTCTAGCAACAATCACGACCATCACTTGCTAGTTTTCTGTGCTATTCCAGCATGAAAATTCTACCATCGGTTGCTAGGAATTTTTGCTATTCCAGCAAGAGAATTCAACCATCGGTTGCTAGGAATTTTCGTTATTCCAGCACGAGAATTCTACCATCGGTTGCTAAGAACTTTTGCTATTCAATTCAGAAACATCACTTCAAATGAAAGTCAGACATAAATTTGAATGAAAAAATTTTAAGGGAATATATTTTTCTGCAATATTGACTAAATATTTTTTAACGTGATATTCTATGTAATGTAAAAAGTCAGGGGTCTTGTTCTGTTGCTGCCTAAGAGATTCATTTGGCTATAAATGTCAAGCTATATATTTTGCTGATTGATTTAAATCTCTGTTAGAATTTCTCAAATATATGAAAATGCTGGCTATTTCGGTTAGAAAACCTAAATTAATTTTTTAAAAAAATTCCATATCATTATTATGTTCTTAAACATCCTCATGTTTCCATAAAACCTTGTTAATAATATGTTTTGGTTAAATTATAACGAATGCAATATTTAATTTGAATGCAATCCCAAAAATATTTCTAAATGAAGCAAATTTAAATATGTTATGTACTTCAGCGATAATGAACTTGTATTAAAGTTAGATTCAGGTTAAAAGTTTTGCTATTTATTTGCTAGACAAGCTTGAAGTGCAATATACCAGCAAAAAAAGAAAGAAAAAAAACCAGCATGATCTAGCAAAAATATTTGCTGGTACCAGCAAAATTACTAGCATGTCATGGTATGTATTGGTACACTTTATTTGCTTGTCTAGCATACAGATACCAGCTTGTGTTGCTGGAATATCTTGCTAGTCTAGCAACAATCACGACCATCACTTGCTAGTTTTCTCTGCTATTCCAGCATGAGAATTCTACCATCGGTTGCTAGGAATTTTTGCTATTCCAGCAAGAGAATTCTACCATCCGTTGCTAGGAATTTTTGCTGTTCCAGCATGAGTTTGAAATCGGCATATTTTTGTTGCTGGTACCAGTCTGAATTTTGATGAGCATGCATGAATTTTGCCTTATATGAGACTTAATAAATACACAAACAATATTTTTGGAATGATAACAACAAGGTGGAACAGTTTTTACCGCTTTTTCCAACTAAAGATAAAGTCTGTTAGGTTTTTACTTTTAACACATAACCATCTGGAAGAGACCTTATGAAGAAGCAAACTGTTTTGCATTTTTTATTCTTACATTTTACAAATTTTATATTTATTTACTCTCCATAATAACAATTTTATAATCTTCATAATAAAATTTAAATAAGTTCTAGGGACCTGCTTTAAATAAATATAACAAGGTCTAAGGATTTGATAAAAATAAAAAATGCTATTTTCGCTTAAGCTGTCTGTAGAGCATATTAAGCTGGCAAATATGAAAAAGCATGTAATAGATTGTTAAGGTATATCTACCTTTCCATGCTTGGGAGTCAGCTTAAACAGCTAATAAGCATGAGATGCTTGCACATAGCTTATCATGCTATTACGATGAATGCTAGGTATCTGGCATGTGATGCTGGCAAGCAAAAAAAAGCATATAATAGCTTGTTAAGGACCTCTCCATGCTTGGGAGCCAGCTTAAACAGCTTATAAGCATGAGATGCTTGTACATAGCTTATCATGCTAGTACGATGTATGCTAGGTATCTGGCATGTGATGCTGGCAAGCATAAAAAAGCATATAATAGCTTGCTATGGTACCTACCTTACCATGCTAGGGAGCCAGCTTAAACAGCTAATAAGCATGAGATGCTTGTACATAGCTTATCATGCTAGGACGATGTATGCTAGGTATCTAGCATGTGATGCTGGCAAGCATAAAAAAGCATATAGTAGCTTGCTATGGTACCTACCTTACCATGCTAGGGAGCCAGCTTAAACAGCTAATAAGCATGAGATGCTTGTACATAGCTTATGCTAGTACGATGTATGCTAGTTATCTAGCATGAGATGCTGGCAAGCATTAAAAAGCATATGCTAGCATGAAAATCTAGCAGACCTCGCAATACATAGCAAAAACTAGCATATTTTTGTTGCTGGTACCAGCATGAATTTTGACGTGGTTAGCTCGCATATTTTTTAGACTGCAAACCTAAAATGAAAATTTCAAATATTCCACGTGAGAAATGTATTTTATCCTAATAAACAAATTTTGCTGAATATAAATTATGTAACTTATCTTTTTTTAAACAAAAATATTTTTTTTTGTTTCATGAATAGCAATACCCAGGGCTGATTGTGCTCCGGAAAAAATCCGGATTTCTGGGCTTTTCGCTAACAGTGATCTGGAAGTTTCCGGAGATCGAAGGTCAAGACGTTTAAAAAAATCATTGATCACAGAAGT